ATCCGATTGGTCGGTCGGACGTAATATATCGATTAACAATAATCGTTTAATATTATATAAAATGCTAGCCTTTAATATTTATTTATCAAGTTGCTTAACTCATCTAACTGTCAATCTAACTAACGTTTATAAATAATCATTTATTTATTATCAATGTTTTTTCTTTTTCTTTTTTTGCTTTTTTTTTTTGTTCAATATATTTATATCTTATTATTTGACTTTAATCAAATTAATAATTTACTTATGAAAAAACAAGAAAAAAAAATATATATATATAAATATATGTTATATTCTCTCTTTTTTTTTATTTTTATAACAATTAAATAAATTATTTATTGAAGAAAATTATTAATATATAAATATTTAAAAATCTTATACGTCAATAAAAATAATATAATTTGTTTATTAATATGTCTGTTTTCTTTTTATTCTTTTCTTTTTTTTTTTTTATTTTTTTGATTTTAAATTTTACGAACAATTTTATGTATAATTAATGAATAAATAAATTTTGTACGAGGATTGTTTTTCTTTTTCGTTGAAATGAAATGAAATGAAATGAAATGAAATGAAATGAAATGAAATGAAATGCGTTATCAAAGCTAGACGCACACCTTTTATTTCGTTATAAATTTCCATCTTAAGTGCTGACCCTGCACGATCGAATATTCTTTGGCACATGATGCTATTTTCGTCCATTGTCTCGTTTGTGGAGTTTATCACGGCATCCACTTGTAAAATGGATATATCGCCAGTCCTAAAAAAGAAATATAAAAAATGTAATATATATATGTGTGTGTGTGTGTGTGTGTATATGTATATATAAAACATTAAATGCCAATACTTCTACCAATTTTGATTATTTCGCTGAAAAGAATTTATATAGAATTAATTAAAAAAAATAACAAAAAAACAAAAACCAAAAAAAAAAAAAAAAAAAAAAAAAAAGAAAAAGAATAGCATTGAAATAAAATAATATCTTTTATATAAAAATTATTATTATTTTTTCTGTTTCTTTCTTTTCTTTCTTTTTTTTTTTTTTTTTTTTTGACCGACTACATTTTTTTCTACTACCAATTATTTTCCTCCGCATACTAATCATCTTCTTTTTTCTTCTATCATTTAATTTATATACTCCATATAAACATAATATAAATATTACATGGGTATTAATTTTTAATGTATAAATAATAATAATTTGTTTAACAAAATCAATCGTAGATGCGTTCAAATGAATTCCGATGGATTAGATAAATATAGAATGATAATAAATGTTGAAAGAAAATTATTATAATCAATCCTCACTTTTTAGATGAATCGTTTTATTTTTCTTTTTTTTTTTTTTTTTTTTTTTCTATACAATTTAATTATATTATATGGAAAAATTACAAAATATAATACAAGTAAATATTATGTTAATAATAATTTTCGACAATAATATTTGCTTATATAATTGAATAATATCATATGTCAAATGGAATATATTGAAATAAAATAATAAATGTACCATAATGCAATTTTGTTGTTAAGTGCAGGTTGACATGGAAATGGACTAATGGTGTGATGACTCGGTTCATCGATAGAATTCGAATAGTCCGTGAATCGATGTTGGACAGGAAAATCGGTCCATTTTTTTAGTGCACTTATGTCGACGACATCCGGGGCGATACGCAACGGTTCCATCAGCCTCATTCAGCTGAAAGCAATACGATTACGTTACTTCCATTGTGTATACAATGTTCCTTTTTATTCGCACTATTTGCGGTTTATTGGTAATAATTAAATAAACAATCGAGATAAAGAAAACAATTTCTATTTATTTCAAGTCTACATCTTCTTTTTTTTTTCTTTTTTTTTTTTAACGACAAAGAACAAAGAAAGAAAAAAAAGGAAATAAGAAGAAAAAAAAAAATAAAAAATACGAAAAAGGAACAAAATTCATTTCAATATATCACAATATTGAACGGATACATTGATCAAATAAATTATTAATAAATATATATACATATATATATATATTTTTTTATATTATTAAATATATATATTTATTTATATATATAGAAAATATTTCATATATATATATATATATGAAATATTTTCTTTTTCAAGACCGGAAAGTCAAGACCGAAAAATGCTTTTGGTGTACGTTAGGTTCTAAAAATAAACAGCTTTATCGATGAAAATATAGGTCATATACAGTAGATATGTACCTGTATATATACGTATGTAGAAGAGAGAGAGAGAGAGAGAGAGAGAGAGAGAGAGAGAGGGAGGGAGAGAGGCAGGGAGGGAGAGGGAGAGTAAAATACCGAAGGACACGGCCCGGAGGAACAATTGAATTTTCTCAAATTATTCTCTGTTCCGTGCGTTTTCGTTTCCGCGTACGGTCAAACTTTTATACTTGCATATAGATCCAAGTGAATACACACACACACACAAACACACACGCATGTACGCACACATACACACAAACACACACGTACGCACGCACACATACATATGT